CTTGAATCAGAGCATTCATCACCGCGAGTCTACGTTTATGCTTTTCCTGGATCCTTGATTCAAAACTTCTATTCGGAATCCATTTCAAGTATGGGAAGAAGTCTCTCCAATCAACATCAATTGCACCCTCCATCATGTCATGTACTAAAACCTTGAAGATCTCATCTTTCGACAAAGTAACACCGAGTTCCTTAACATAAATGGACTCTATATCTTTCCCAAAGGCCTATGAAAACAAAAACAAAAATCTATTTTCCTACTTTCTCTTGAAATCTGTGTTTCCTGATGTATAGTATATATAAACAAAATACTCACTTGCTTCAAAGCTACTCCAAAAAGCTCATGCTCGAATATAGCCCTGAAGTTTACAGGTTCTTGCGGATGGTCTCTCGCGTGGGCATGCAACTTGGAAGACACATTTTCAATGAGGGCATCTCTGTAATGTCTTTTTCGTTTCTGCAAAAAAAATCAACACAGCAGAAAGATTGATTCAGTTTGCCATTATATATACCGATGAGAATCTGCGGGATAAAATGAACAGTGAATTCACCTGTGCATTAGCACCCAAAAGGCCATTCAAGATACACCGTTTCACCAATTTGTGGAAATCATCATAATCACTAGTAGCAACCATAGATTTGTTGCAAGTGAGGACTGTCAACGCATTCGACAACTTTCTCGTCGAGATAGACGAAAACCGCGTTACCATGGCCTGAAAACAAACACATAAAAGCAACCTAAACGATAAGAGAGAGCATCAACTACACTTTCCACATAAGTTTTCAGACTACAATCATATAAATAAGACCAATCATTAAGGCTTTAGCCATGTGTTCTTGATTATAATCGACAATTCAAGATCGAAAAAGGAACGATTTTTCGATTCCAAAACATATCAATCAAACCTCTTTGGCAGTTTCAGTTGAATTGAGGACAATAAGAGAGGAAGAACCCATCTTTATAGAGTAAATAGGACCATAAACCTCTGACCATCTAGTGAAAGTCTTGTGAGGTTTCTTCTCTTTTAGTTGCAGCAAGTTCCCAATAACCGGAAACCCTGGTACCACTGCATCAAAAACCCAACTTTAAACTTCTCAAAGATCCAATTTTTAGTTCACTAAATCACTAAAATCAAAGAAAGTTTCAAACTTTGACCAAACCCACGAATCGCAAGACCTAGATACTCTCAAATCGGGAAAAAGAAACAAACCTGGAACAGAGGGGAGAGAAGAAACTTCAGACATGTTCTTTTTGGTGAAGGAGAGTAGTTTCTTGAAGAAGATGATGAAGATGAAGGATGAGAGAACAAAGCCAAGGAGAATGGAGATCATGGAGAAGAAAGCCATGGAAGAAGTGTGATTGAGGTGTTGTTGATGTGAAACTGAAGTGATGCATTCATTGTGTAATAGTGAAGAGAAAGGAAAGTTTGGATTTTTCCTCTTATTGGCATTTGGCAAGTTTTTGATTTTGGTGTTTGGATTTTACCAATTTTGGATTTCAAAAAAGAGACATGAATGTATCCGTTTTATGTTATCTTGTTATTATTTTATTTAGATTTTGTGACAGTAGAGGTTTTTTTTACTCTAAACTCACCGTTTTATCTTTCATTGAAATTTGTGATTTTGAGTCCAAATACCTAATACAGTAAAACCTCTATAAATAAATACTCTATAAATTAATAACCTCTCTAAATTAATAAATTCTTTCGATCCCAAGTTGGGACCAGTGTAAAATATGACATAAATCGATAAATTAATAAGATAATAATTTTTTTGAAAATTTTATGTAAACATATGGTCTCATCTATATCATAAATTAATAATTGTATTAACTTATCAATATATATATATATATATATATATATACATTATATAAATTTTATATATGTTATATATGAATTACTATGATATATATTTAAAATATTATATGTAAAAAAATTTGATGAAATATGACTCTATTATTCGAAAAAAGTTTGTGTTGTTTTTTAAACTTAATAATTGTTTCTCTACTTGTAATTAGTTTTTAAAAGATATTGTTTATAAATAAAAAAATTATTTTTAGATAGAAACTTTTTTAAGAAATTACAAAATTAATAAGATCTCTCTATAAACTAATAATTATTAATTTATCGATAAATTAATACCTCTCTAAATTAATAAAAAATTTTGGTCCCAACATTATTAATTTTTAGAGGTTTTACTGTACATCTTTTTTCTCATTTTTTGTGTTTGGTTTTAAAATAGAAACCTCTTCATTTTTAGCATAGTCCTCTTTGTTGGTTATGTCATTTTCTTCTTCTTCAAATTCACTGACTAAAGCTTCGTCTTCACTTACTGCATCATATTTTTTCTTGGCTTGAAACTCAAACAGTTTTTGACTAAAAAAAACGGATTCATCTAAGACTTGCAAACTAGATCCATATTGATCATCAAAAACTATTTCATGACTACTCCTCCATTGCAATATACACTAATCAATCTAAGATATATATATATATATATATATATATATATATATCTTTTATGTCATATAAATCTTGCCAATAAGACGAAAAAATAGCAATATGATACGGTCTAACAACAAGAAAAGAAAATAATGACAAGGAAGAAAAATAATTTTTTTTTGTCAATGGTGCAACAAGAAAAAAATCGACACTTCGAAAACTAAGTCAACCAAAAATAAAATACTAAGAAAACCACACCAAATAAAAATCATAAATTCACGGAGTAACAAGATTATAAAGGACAAACAAATTTCCACTTCTATGATATTCAGTAAAACTACATGAACCTAGTAAACACAAAATCTTCAATTAACTAATTTTCTTCTACTTTTCTTGAACAATTTTTTATTCAATCTTGAACTTAATTGGCACAGCGCTTAAAAAGGTATGAAGTATAGCATTACTTAGATAGATGATCAACTAATATGTTGCAGCCCCTACTGAATATACTCAAAATAAAGATCATTAAGATTTTACTACATTTTTTGGAATAGTTAAATACATTACTCATTAATGACAACAACAACCACCTTGGCAACAGTCAATACCATGACATGGCAAAAGAAAAAGCCCCCGACAGCCCCACATTAAGAGACTCTAATGTAGCTTCCAAGCCTAGAAGTAAGCCCAAAGCTTGGAACAATCTAACAACCTTCTGATTTCTGAACCACATAGAACCCATGTAGAAGGCGATGTATACGAGCATGGTTGGCATAAATTTTTTTTGGGAATTTGGATTGAACCTCAAAAATATAGAAAACAGGTCCCAATAGCCACTGGATGAAATTATTACCTTTGTCCACAAAAGTCTTCCAAAGTTATTTGTTTTCACCAATTGCCTACTCTTGGACAATAAGATCAGTGGGAGGAGCTCCAGACCAATTGAAGATATTATGACTATTTTTCAAACCGAGAAATTCTGATGTACACTTTATAAATGGTTGGTTTTGGGGTTGCTAAACGCTTTGGTGGTGATGATGATGATGATATGAGATTGGAACAAAAGATTAAATAAAAGAATTTGATTAAAAAATTGTATGACACGAACTTGGGAAAATTAGAATTTTATTTTTATGCTTTTTTATAATAAAACTGAAACACTGACATGATGATTATATAATTAATGCCATGAACTAATACTTAATTCGATATGAAGTTTAAATTAAATACTCAAATAGAAACATTAGAAATTTTGAATTGGTAAAGATCAAATATCTGCATATTAGCGTTATTTTTTGAAAAGAAATTTGAGACATGAATCAAATATCTTGCTGTTTAAATTTTAAAACGGATATTTTGACACGTAATGTTAGATTACATCCGGTCGATACTCTTTTATTTTTGTAGATTTTTTATATTTTTTTTTATTTCTAAACCGTTTTAGTTTTGTATGATATCAGTTGACAAAAATAGAAAATGAGAAAATATTCATAATTTTTTGTAGCATTTTAATATAGCAAAAGTACAAACGAGTAAATGAAGGATATATCCAGATAAAGAAAGGAAAAAAAAACACAAACACACAAATATAAACTCTCAATATGAGTTCAAATTTTTTTTCTAATACTACAATTTAAGATAGAAAAAATGGTGTAGAATAGCGCAAGAAATGCTATTTAATGGATTTATAATTGTTCAATTTTTTCATTAATACTAATTCTACCTTCATATAATTTATTTATACTTTAATTTCATTTCTTTCCCCATTCTTTTTAATTAATTTAAAATATTTAAAAGCCCAAAGAAAAACACCACCAGTACTTTTTTTTTGGAAACTAAATCAAAATAATTTAGGAAAATAAAAATAATCTTACGGCTTATAAACCCATTTACAAACCTCAAATCCCAAATTCAGCCCATGTGTAATTGAGTTTCTCCTCTAATTTTCAAAATAAGCATTTTAACTCTAAATCAAAATTCCAAAATTTTCAAGTTATCCATTTTCAAGCTTTGTTTTTGACATTTTAATACACCACCATGTATTGCTTGCAGCGACGATTTCATCGTGCCAAAAAACGATCATTCCGATAAACGTTAGAAAAATAATTAAAACCACTTCGTCAAAAACAAATTCCAACATATCTTTCCTTAAAATTAATTTGGAATAAATGGAAATATCTCGGGTTTGACCAAATTATTTTATTTTTTGGCTAAAATCACATGAGTGAAATGTCATAGAGCCACTGACAATAGTGCATTGATAGATCTTGAAAACAAGTATTTCTTTGGATGCTGTTATAAAACTCAAACCACACCAAACTTCAATAGCCCTTGTATCGATTTCTCTATTATTTCGGGTGATCTAGTTATAATCCCTTTTTTTTGTAATCCTTACACATACATAGAAAACAGCCTCTCTGGCTTTTACCTCTCTTTGAAAACATAATTAAGTGAGTCGGTTTGATATACCTAATTATATACCCCTTTTTTCTCTCTTTCTTTTACTACTGAAAAACGAAAAGAAGGCATGAATCATATCAGGCACTGTAATCAACTTACGTGCGTACACTATTTATATACACACGATAACATAATAAACCCCGATTACTTAAACGAACATCATATTTACAACAACAACACAAAAACGTAGCAAGCAAAAACCTACAACATAGTAAAAAAGAAAACCAGTAAATCAAGCCAAACCCCATTAGTTTCCACAAAAATTACATTAAAAACAATTCATCCAACTGATGATTTTATCGAGCCTCACTCTATTCCTTTGCCATGTTTTTTAGCTGTGAAAAAAAAACACAACAAAATTTAATAAAATTTAATTTCATATATCTAGACAAGGCAAGTTAGATGTATGGAAAAAGTTTCGTAAGAAAGATAATCTTACGTGAGAGCGAGAAGGCGTTGGAGGTTTTTAAAACGTGTAACCTCTTCACGGTCGATACAAACATCCTAAGAAGTAAAATAAACATATTGAAAACATTTGTTAAATTTTACCCAAAAAAAAAAACAAAGTAGATAGATATAAAATGATTTTTGAGAAAGCAAGTTTATAGTCAGTTCAGAAAATAAAAACAAGTCATTATTGAATTAATTATGTTTGATATAAACTTACTCCCAAGGAACATCTCCGACCAGAACTTTATCTCCTTCAGTGTCTTCGTAGACCAAAGTGTATTGTCTGTTTAGATCCCACGAATCTTTCTTAGAGAAGAGTTGGTCAACGGCATGTGAAAGCTGTTGGTAGTTGTTATAAGCTGAAAGGTTGACTTTTCTTCCTATGAGAACTCCTTCCATGTTGATCTTAACGTAAAACTCTTTCTCTTCATCACTCTCTCTCTTCTTCATCTCCTCCTTTAGCTGCGCCGATAGGTTTCGCCGGGATGATCTCACCGGTGGCCATCCCACCACTGGAGCTACCTCAACCCTGTTTTAGCCATATCTAGTTATAAACTTATACAAAAATACTTTTTGATAACTAGAGAAATCTTGCGAAACCTAGACTAATCTCCGAAAACCGTAGAATAACCGGGATTTTTATCATATAAGACATCTATAATGAACAAGAATGATTCAAATCAATCATGAGAAGAGATTAAGAGAACCTGTTATTGGAAACGAATGATGTATCTTTGGTAGAGCTTTTTTGTTTAGATCCATTGATGTTGTTGTTGGAAGTGAATTGGTGACAAGGAGGAGCTAGCCTTAGCTCCAATCTCTTTTCTTCTTCCATTTTTTCTAAGTGTGTGTTGTGTTTTTGGTGTTGATGAGTATTATTATATGGGTGGTTGGCAAAGAACTACAATCCCAATCTTTTATAAAAAGTAGTCTCTTTATATTTTCTAATGAAAAGAGATTTTTATTTTGTATTAATAATCACCTAACAGATCCTACTTGTATGGTTTCCGAATGTCAAAACTGCGTTTACATACGTGTATGATTCTACGAATGTGATGCGGATTGATGGGATTCACACATATATTATTTACAACGATTACTATTATATAAAGAGAATAAATTTATATCATGATGATTAGAAAAATCCAATAGACTAATTTAGAGTTATAGGTAGGTGGTTATCAAATTAAAAACCCACTTAAGATATATGGTAACATGGTTCATAGCCGTGTGGGGTCTCATAATACCGAATAACTCTGGTTTATTAATAACAAAACATATGATTCCAAAAATCTTTAGATGTAATCACCAAATTATTTCGCTGTCTAGATGTCTCCAAAATTGCTGCGTATAGTTGACAGTAGAGCAGGATAAAACTTTTTCGTAATATCTTGTTTAGTCCATTTTCATTCTAGTTCGATCTTAAAAAATGTGGTAATCGAAATGACCAAAGAACTAAATTGCTACCATAGCACCAATGTCAAAATGGATATCCAAAGAACGAGACAGACACATAAACCAATTTAATCAGAGAAAAACCAAATAACACTGACTACTTATTAGCTAGTGACATGAATTGAAATCATCATATTGAAAATGAATGCTATTTTTACTTCGAATTCGAAAGTACTATAGCCTGAGTTTATGTACGATTGCTTCTCCTATGCATGACATTTGTAAACATGCATTTTAGAAAACTCATGCATGTCACCATATTTACATATCATGACTCATGAGAGAAAGAAATGTATCATACATGGATATTTCATCATGTGATCATCATCATCATCATCTCCGATCCATACCCATTCTTAAAGATTTTCTGTACATATTTTTTTTTTTTGAGAGTGAGGCCGACATAGAAAAGGAAACAAGAAAGAGGAAAGAGATTCCTAGGCATGCTTAAATGAGTACCTACCAATAAAAGGAGAAAAGTAGTAGGTTTTCGTTTACAAACCTTCTTCTGTTTATTTTTATTAATATATAAACGTTTTACATATATTTATGTAAATATTATGGGAATTTGGTCAAATCTACCACTTTTGACCAAAGCCTTTCCATTTATACTATATTTGATTATCTTTTTCTACTCATATCATATTGTGGTATTGTGGTATAAAAAGACGGTTTTGCCCTCAGTTGATGGGGTAGATAAAGTGCAATATTAATTTAGGGACAAGTATTTGGGGGACAATAAACCTATTCGGAGACAACAATCAAACGAAATATAAACATCAACAAAATGAAAAGACCACAATTAGAATTTAGGAGAACTAAAATCGAAGAACAATGAATTAAAATCGAGGAACAAAAACCAGCTAACATGCAAAAATAAGATAAAATTGTGGAAGGCTCAAACTTCGGGAACAACTGTATGTAAACTTCTTTTTGTGTGCTCAAACAATGAATTTTGTCCCCGAGCACACAAAATGAAGGGCAAAATGGTCATTACACACTGTAATTGTGGTATGAGTGATAAATGGGCATGTAATGTGGTAGAAGAAAAAAGAATTTGACCAAATGTGGAATATATGTTAATTTTCTCAAATATTATTGTATGTATTACTTAGAATTCCACTACCAACTCTTTTTTTCTCACTAGAATTCCACTACCAACTTTTTTTTTTTTCTAATTTGGCCTCCATAATGGTTTTTATTTTTTTCAAGTTATATAATTGATTGGTTTACGGAAATTGTCCACCCATGAAAAATCATCTTAAAGCTAATGATACCAATACTATAATCAAGTACTCCCTTTGTTTCATTATATTAGATGTTTTAGAGATTTTATTTTGTTTCATATTATAAGATGTTTTACAAGTTTCAATGTTAATTTAAATTCATTTAACAATTGTGACTATTTATATTTTGCAATTTTTATTATGATTGGTTGAATTTTTTTTAGCTAAATATAAATAATGTTTTTAAAAGAAAAATAAATGACCTAAATATGTGTGCATTTACCTTAAACCTCTTATATTTTGAAATAGAGGGAGTATAACTTTAGATATATATATCAAGATGGTTTAAGGATCTTTCAACTCAATCTTAGAAAAATTAATAGCTGTGACACATAATGTATTAAAATAAGCTGTTTAATAGGGTTTGTGCTAAATACTACAAATAAAACTGGTGAAATAGGCACTTAAGTTGTTTAACCCCAAAAAGAAAAAGAAAAGTTGTTTAACAAAAAAGAAAAAAGCTAGAAAAGAACAAGACACAAGTTTGTGGCTATTTCACAGTTTCTTATAGCTGAATTGGTTAATACTTATCTTGTGTCTCCCAATGATGCAATCTAGAATTTCTCTTTTGTCTTTTGACCTTTTTCAAGGACCATCACCGTTTTTTTTCTTTTTAACTCGTGCCAAAACCATTTTTCTTTAGCATATTTAGCATTGCGGGAAAATTTAACATATTTTATTTGTTCTAGACTTTCAATTAATCCGATGGACTTTATTTTATGCCTTATGTATAATCGATATTGTAAAAAATGTATTTTTAACGTCATTGCTTAATCCTTTAAATAATCTAATGGACGTTCAGTTCATTCAAATAAGCGTCTAATTATTATGGATTATCCCTTATAACAAGAAACCTAATGCACAAGATAAAATAAAAGTCTACAATCCAGTGGTAGTTGAGAATTGGGGAAAAGTTTGAAGGAACTAACCCATATTCGATCTACGCTGGAAACAAAAAGCACATCTGTGTGGGAAGTCTGGGCGATCCACAAAAAGTTTACCTGGTAGTCCAGTAACAGGCGATCTGGCTACCCCCTGACATTAGTCGGAAAGCATTCCAAACTCGGGACAGACAATGTGGTGGCCCTTCGGGGAGAAGTCCACTCTGAAGCATTTCGGTGCGTTTCTACAGGGGCTGACCGGATCAGCCGATATGGTTTATCAAAAAAAAAAAAATAATAACCAATAATTTATGAAGATATAAAGTTGAATAGAAAAAAAATTAGGATGGAAATAGTTATGCTTTATAAATAATATTATAAAATAGACTTATATTGAGCTATAGAAAACCCTCTAAAAAAACAAAAAAGACCTAGCTCAATGGATTCATGAAATCATCAACATACCAAGAAAAATCATCACCCTAATAATGACACAGCTTCTAGTTTAATGGTTTGTATTAGTTTGTTGTCTTGTTAGAACTCGAATTCAAACTATGTGTTCAGTTGTAAATAACATAACAAGAAATTTGTCCGGGCTTTGTAGTCAAGTGGTAAGGAGACGGATTTGGGGCGTCAACACGCTTCAAGTTTGATCCACATATGGCACGAAACTCACACATATTTTTTCTGGATACTCATACGGATATGGGTCTATGTTTACGGGTCATTTGAATATCCGGAGAGAAGTTCTACTTGTGGGCTGCACCTGAATTATCAAAAAAAAAACATATAAAGAAATTTATACCAAACCAATGAGTAGGCGAGTGCATTTTAATCTGATGATAAACCGAATTTATTCATGCCCAAACATGAATTATTTAATAATTTTAGAAATCAGAAATAACTGAAAATATATATGTATGAATCAATATAATATATTTCAAAAAGTTCATGTAAAATGATATATATATATAATACAAAAATTTTTGCCCAAAATAAAAGATAATACAAATTCTCAAATTAGTAAAAGTTTTGTACTTCCATAGAATTTATAAATTTTGTCCGCTTTTTGTTGGCTAAAAATATAGAAAATAGTTTATATATATATATATATATATATATATCATCTATAGACAAAAAAAAATAATGAAACATTTAAAATCAAATTTATTTTAACAGTTTAGCAGTGAAGACAATATACACTAGGATTTAATCCGCGGTACACCGAGGGGCAAAATTTTATTTTATATAATAATTTATAATTTATTAGATTTTATTTTGTATCTAAAAAATTTACTCCGCGGTACATTGCGGGTAGATTTTGTTTAACTAAAAACTTTAAATTCTAAGTTATATTTGTTTTATGGGGGATTAGCAAAAATACCCCTTTTTTCATGCCCCTTTTCAAAAATGCCCCTTTTAGATGTCCATTTTCAAAAATGCCCCTTTTTAAATCTGAAATTTTTATAAAGTTTTATTAGGTTTATAAGGTACTTATGGAGTGTAACTACTACTTGAAGACTCGATCCAAGTATTTATAAGGTTTTATAAGGTGTTTTTAAAGGTTTTACAAGTTATTTTAAAGGATTTTTAAGGTTTTTCAAAGGTTTTACAAGATATTTTAAAGGTTTTTAAAGGTATTTAAAATGCATTTATAAGGTATTTATAAAGTATTTATAAGATTTTAGATACATAGAAATGTAGTTTGTGTATGTTTTAATAATATTACATACATATTTGGGTAAATCTTATATTTTTAAGAGCATTTTTTATAAGGTTTTTAAAAAGGGGTATTTTTGAAAAGTGGCATTGAAAAAGTGGCATTATTAACAATTTCCCTTGTTTTATTAATATTGTTTGGCTTTTTTAGTGTTTAAGATTATATAATTATATTTTTATTTTTAATTCTAGGATGTCATCCGTGGTATACCGTCCCGTATTAATATCAAACCAAATCCGTGCCACCATATAACCCCGTCCTGTGAAATTAAACAGCATTTTGTTATTTTTCTTTTTTAATAATATTTTTATTTAAAAGACATATAATTGGAGTCAATTTAAAAGTTTGCTTCAAATGATTGAGTAATATATTTATTTAAAAGACATATATAGTTTTTCTTTATCGATTGAGTAATATATGCGCGTTTTTAAAAATTTGAATCATATTATATGTAGAAAAAATCTATTATTTATTAATTATATGTATTTTATTTAAATTCAAAATAAATTAAATATAAGATCATATAAAAGAAGAAGAATCATATAT